AAGTTCCAAAGGGATGGTGACACTACTTCTCTCTTCTCCACCTTCCTGTAACCTCAGCATGTTAGGTGCAGGTCTTTGATTTGTTTGGTGCTATACGAGGTTGTTTGGTGAAACTTCCATTCAAAATGGCCTAACGTTAACTAAACCGTCGACTTCGGAGGCCGATGTCCTACCGTTTCAGCGAAAATGTCCGAAATGAAGCGAGAGTCAATTGTTATTCATAGACCATAATCTAAAACTTAATCTAGCTCAGCGAACATTGTCTCTTGGACGATAGGACCGCCGGCCTCTGAAGACGACGAATGAGTTGGTACCTTGGGCCATTTTGGATAGCGGTTCTACTGAGCAACCTTGCACTGCACAAAAGAAAGGAAAGAAGACAATAATCGCCAGTAGAAGTCAAGAGATGTAATTCGTACTGATCGTATGGGTGGATACTGCCGACTATTGCGCCCTCCTCATTAGCGCCCCTCCCCTTTACCATTTTAAGGACATACTAAATCTCACCTTCGAGAACAATCCTTTCCATGTGAGAGTTAAATGGATGCGCTTCTGCGGTAGCGTGCCACTTTCCCGCTCAGAATGCAGGGCGACGGGGTTGGAGGGTTGTGAAACTCAGAAGCTGTCTCCGTATTCCGTCCGTACTATTCTCACGAAGCAGTACTTACGTCGATACTAAAGTCCCGCAGCGAACACCTAATCTGAGGCGGAGAACAACCAGAAGGGGGAGGATAGCGAGGAAAAGTGAGTAGCGCGTTGGCTATTGTCAGGCGCCTGGATAGCCGTGTAGTAGAGCGAGCGCAGTTTGGAGACAGCATACGTGAGCATCTGGACATCACTACACTCCAGTCTCATCCCGTGCACTTTTGACCAAGAAAGTGAAGCGCGACTGCAGCTGCGAAACCATTCACCCACACATAGGTAGGACCAGGATTCGTGGAGGTGAGCCCACCTGTCTGCGCCCTCATATTTCTGGTTGTTCTCTATCACTCAGTTTATGTTTCGTTGGCGAAACCTTAGTATCGACGCAAGCGCTGCAGATGGAGGATAGCGCGAGCAGTGTAGCAGAGACGGCCCAACTCTCTCTCTCCCTTTTCCTTAGCCTGCAGTTTTGTTCACGGACGAACTTTGCGACTGCCTACAAGGAGGTGGAGGTCCGATCATGTGACAAGGAAGCTGGGCTTAAGCAGGATTTCCATGTGCGGTGACGGCAGCGGGATGAATGAGTTCGGCCACGCTGGGCGTGACAGGGTGGTTTTTGCGGTGACCATTGATGTTGATGCTCCTGAAACTCGCAAGGGCCAAGGGTGAAGGAAGTATACTCCTTATCCCTGAGTCAGAGTAGGCGTGGCATTTGAACATGGCACGGAACTGGTTGCTCATGGAATATTCCAGTCTGGGACAACTGTAGCTTTGTTCTGTTGGACAGAGACACGACAACAATCGTGTTCAGGATGAAAAAGTTTCTTCAGAAGCATAGAAACACGCCGTTCAGTAAGTTGGAACATGCGGCCCACGCCTAAACTTGCGATCTGCAGGGATTTCGGATTATATGTACAGTTCTTGATTCGTGCAGGAGTGCTGACGTTCCAAGGGGATGTTAGGGGCGAGTGACCAGCCCGTTCTTTCCTCGCTAACTGTGGAGGCTATTAAGTTGTAGCTAAACGGTAGAGAAGATGGCGCTGGCGCGACGCCTGCTCAGTGATCCAATGAAATACCCAGCTTCGTAGCAGGACAAGAGTAGGTAGGTAGAGTACCGTTCCACACTGCTTTATATCTCGTGTTTCGCACGTACTAGGCGCTTGGGGTGAAACTTTGGTAGTAGGAACACCGCCGGCATTTTTTCTCCTCGCAGTGGGCGACTCCATTCGCACAACCTGAACCAGTCATTCGCTAGCAAATTTTCCCTGAAACGCGATGCTACGCAAAAAAGTAGCTCGCAGATCTGCTACATAAGTAATTTTGTGGGCCTTTGACGGTTATAGGAGAGGAGAGAGAGAGAGACAAAGAGAGAGAGAGAGGAGAGTAAAGAGAAAGAGAGATGAGAGTGGCGTGAACGGGAACGCCACTAATAGAAAAGAAGCGGGCTAAAAAAAGAAAGACTTCGGCGGTTAAAATACGTCGCCTCCCCTCCTCTACAGCGCCAGAACGACCCAGCTGGGATACTCGCTTACGCGCACAACTGTTTCCTTTACAGGTAACTCGAGATGGAGAGGAACTGCACTGAGCTGGCTGGCAGGATACGTGCAAAGGTCGTGAACAACGGCAAATGCCATAAGGTAAGCCCGACTGAACGTCGCGACTGGTAGCGATATCATTGCATGTATGTAACCGGAATTTCCTTATTTTCCCTGCTCATCCCAGAACTATATTATCTTCCAGGTGCCTAGGCAAACATGTGAGCAAGTCAGAAGTTCTCAAGGACGCTGCAACATGTCGCCTTGGTTTGTAAGGAGAAAGCAAAGGAATGCTGTTTATTGCACATTAGAAATAAATATTACTGTAAAAGAGGCACATAATAGGTGTATGGCAGCAATCTGGCCAGTTGCCAGTCTAAACAGCATCCCCCTTCTCGACAGGAAAGGGTGTGCTAACCACTTCGTGACCCGCAGCCACAATGATTACGTCGTCTTTTGGTCGATCGCCCGAAGCCTTTGGTACGGTCTCAATCGCTCGCACCACGTCCATTCCTGACAGCACCTGAAAAAAACTGAGTTTAGTTTCAATCACAAAATTTTCTAAAGAAGAATTAGGTATTTCCAAATCTCTTTTAGCTTGAGAAGCCCATTATGGTAAAAAGCTCGCAAGGCGCGGACCTTCTCTCCCGTTCTCAGGAGGCGGTCAAGACATTCGTAATCCGCCACGTCGTCGCGCGCGGCATATTGTGCGGCAATGGGAGCGACACTTGAGTAAGACGCCTCACAACGACAAGAAAGCTAATATCCTCAACTTGATCTTTCCTGTTCAGGTGGTCTATAAGATAGAAATAACTGACTTAGAAATACCGTATTTCAGGCAGAACTGCCCACTTGCCGCATTTGGCACGCGACATTGGTAGTTCGGCGACGGGGCATTTTGCACTTTTGCTACTTCCCATCTAGAGAACTATTCCATGAGCTTACAAGAGTTGTGGTCACCACAGCTGTAGGCCGGAACTAGTGAAGCAGCGAAAGTGCAAAATCCCCCACCCCGTTGCAGAAATCGCGCGACATTTTTACCACGCTCAGCAGCGCGGCTTTTTGCGATCGTCTTGTCACACACCCGCCTTGCGCTCCTCCAACTATCTTCCGAGTGATGGCAGTATCCCAATATTAATCAGAGCACGCTTGATCGCCATATTTGGCATACAATCAACAATTCACCTTTAGCATAAAAGTTTAATTTCACTAACGAAAAACCACGTCACCCTTCTTACCTTTCCAAACACAACGTGCCGACCATCCAACCAAGAGGTTTTCTTCACAGTTATGAAAAATTGACTGCCATTTGTGTCCTTTCCAGCGTTTGCCATCGATACCCAACCAGCTCCATAATGCTTTAGCTTGAAATTCTCATCAGGGAATTTCTCACCGTAAATGGACCTTCAATATATCACTGTTAAAACTTAAACAATGGGGGGGGGCAATAAAAAAGACACTTTGTTTTCTCGACTTTCAAGGCGCTATAAGTTGCACTTTATTAAATTCTGATTGGACATTCCACCATCATGTTCACAGCACATTGTACACTATCACGATACTCCGCCACAGCCTTCTGGACGAACGCCATCGAGAGATTCTGCCACGCGACCGTGATTCGGTGCCTGAGTTCAGCGAGATCGTTGATTTCTCCGCCACTGTAGACCCTGTTGAGCTCCGCTCGAACCTGGTAATCGAGGCGCTTTAGATCAGGTGACAACATAGAAATTCTGTCTTCTTCAGGTCTCAACGCCCTTCGATTCCATGTGCTGGCACCCAATCCTGTAGCAGTACGAAGTTTCCAAGATGGTACAGGCGACGACATGAAGGCAGGATATTCTCCTCGAGTTGGTCGATGTAACCGTCAGCGCTCACTTTCAGTCCGGGGCCCACGAAGAAAATATCGGTCTTCTCCATTCCAGGAACGGTCCATACCATCAACCCGCGCCTTGGCGACTGTGGTGAAGATGATGTCCTAGACCGTGGCGACGTTGTCGGAGCTGCTCGATGTTGGAGGTCTTCCAGAGTACTGGTCTCCAGGTAGCTATCCATGGGTGACTCCATACTAGAAGTTTCGCAGCTGTTTGGAGGTGACGTGAATTCCATAGGCCTTTTTCAGTCAGGCTGCGATTGGAGATGACTTTATATTTTGGTGTACATGAAGGTGATGGACGAGAGCCTGCTCCTGCTTATCGAGGAACATCTTGGGTATCTTCCGCCCTGGTACTCGTATCCACGTCTTCTATCTGGGCTGCGTAAACTTTACTGATATGTGACTCGGCCAAAGTGTCTTTTTTTGGGCTCCGTGTACA